GTGGGAGAGAGTGATGGGGGGAGCAAATATTGTTCTATAGTAAAATTTTTTTACATTCAGTTATTTATTTATTTTATTTTTTTGTTTTTGATTCTTATAGATTTCATCAAGCCGAACCAGCTGGGTGTCGGTTATCAGAATCTGGTGAAGAACAAGTGTGTATCTGTTATGATCGAAACTATTGCAATATGACAACATCTGTTCGACAGCATTGCTATGTTATCCAAATAATCATCATTGTTTTACTGTTTTTTTTGGTTTAGGTTATTTTAGTTGTAACTGTTAAGAGTAAAATAGAAAAATAAGATTTTTTTTAACCTAACTTATCTATGTACATTATAGTATGTATTATTATTAATTCTTTTGCAATAAATCAGGATGTAAAATATTAAAACGATATTTTTTTCTACGAAACAGTTCTCAACTTATTTATTCTTAGTGACTGCATCGTTGTTAATATTTACTAATCACTTATTATTGCTAAAAACGTTCTGACTATAATAATAATAATAATATTCTGTTATTACATTTACAATCTTTTTAATACTTGTATACGGATAATAATATTGATAAATCGTTGGTATTTGTGTTTGTTGGACTACTTACATTAGATTTTCTATATAAGCTTTTTGAAAAAAAAAAAAAAAGTTGAAAAAGAACAAAAAAACAAAAAAAAAAAAAATGAAAGCAAAACCCATTTATATGGGTTAGCATAAGATATTTGGGGTGAATAATATTTGGCTTGGTTATTTGAAAATTTTGCATGCAATAATAATAATAATAGAAAGATGAAAAGAAGGCAGTTTGAAAAGTGGAATCAGAAGGCAGTGGAAGAACAAGAAGATAATATACATACTGAAAAAAAAAGGCTTGAGAAGGGTGCGGGGAGTGGGGTGCGAGGGGTGGGGTGGAGGGGGGAGAAATGAGAAATGGAAAAGATAACGGTGACGATGACGAACGATTTGCTAAAGTTGACCGATTGTGGTTGTTGGTGGTTTCTTAGTTTTGGTTGACCCGACAACAAATTTGTTATTAATTTAGTGTTTATAAAATTTAAATATGTGTTTATTATACTCCATTTTTCTTTAACTCTCTGTCAATATTCTTTCCTTTTTTTTTTTCTATT